GTCAGCCTGGACTTAAATACAAGACCTACATCAATCAGGAGCTGGACAAGATGGCACACACTTGTCACTCTAACACTAGGGGAAAGGTTTAAATAGGCGGATCATAGTCTAGGCTGGTTCAGGCATCCCTGAGAGACCCTATCTGAAAAACAACAAAACTAAAAAGGCTGGGGATAAGCACCTGCCTAGAAAACACAAGGCCCTGAGTTCAACCCCCCAAATAACTATTTGCGTATGGTTGTATGTGTGAGTGTGCTTGTAGGCTTGTCATGACTAAAAAGATATTGTAAATTAAAGAAATTTTTTTGATTGTGACAAGCAAAAATAGCTCATTACAAATCATTTCAGATATTTGGGGAATAAAGCATGGGGAGCTTGCTATACAAGGGTTTACCAGTAAGAAGTGGCCTAGTCTGTGGCATCAAAGTCCCCCTTACCTGAGGAAGGAATGTTTTTGTTTCCAGTGCAGGGTAAGTGGACATCTGCTAAAAATGAGGGTAGTAAGGAGAAATAAAAGAGAAGGCAGCTGAGATAAGGACTAGGAGGTGTTAGATCACGGTTTCTCAGACTACTCGGGCAATAGATCCTTGGGGGACCTTGTTAAACTCTGGCTTTCTATTCCATGAGCCTAGAAGAGTGATTGAAACTCTCCATACCTAACAAGCTCAATAGCGAGGCCTGTGCAGCAGGCAGAGGCCACAATGCTGTCTAATGAGGAGAAAAATGACCAGCACGAGGACTACAATGCCCAGACAGAGGACAAGGAGAGAGGTAGACAGAGGCTGGACATGCTGGGCTGCGTGTCTGAAGAAAGAAGACTAGATGGGAAGATGATGCAGCCAGGAAGATCCCCATTTTCTTTGTTCCCCATTTTCTTTCTTCCTGGAGTTTCCATTTCCCTGGGAAGACACTGTGCAGAATCTCCACTCTGAGTGAGAGCAAAGGTGTTTATGGACTTCAGGACCTCATAAAGCCAATAAAGCCGGGCCTCTTCATCACAGACAGCCCATTAACAACCCCTGTTTATTGGGGAAAATCCTCAGAACTTAATACACCTTGGTCAGGCAAAGTAATTGCTTTGGCCAATTTTATAGACTAAGGGCCTGCCACCCTTTGGTAAGCAAGGTATGAGAGGCCTGAGCCGTACACTTACTGCCTAAAATAACTCGGCAAGACAAGAGCACGGCCTCTCTTACTAGCAGCCTCAACTCCAGTTTTATAACCCAGAAGACAGATTTTACCACGTCTATACCAACAGCCACCATCCTATTTCCTGAGTAACCCATTGGAAAGTGGCTCACACAACTCTGTGCTCTACAGTTGACAGGTCATTTAAAAATAAAAGATTGTTTAAAAAGAAAAGCCCACCCAAAAGGGAGTGAACATGGACTTTAATCAACATTCAGTGTGCTTTAGAAAAGTATTCTTTGCTTCAGACCTAGGAAAGAGCTGTCTTTCTCTTTTAAAAATGAGTCTAATCCTGAGTCACAGCTCACATCTCACAAAGAACGCCATCAACTGGCTCAGACAGCTGTATGAAACAGCTGGAAGAATGCAGGGCATTGCTCCCCGGATTATACTATTGGAACCCTGGGGAGCTATCATACCATTCCTCTTGGCTTTTCTCTTTATAGAATGTGTAAATGGGATGATACCATTTAACGAGTGATAAGAATGTGTTGCATTTCCTAACTGAGTCATGGTGATACACACACCTCAAAAATGTTGGCCTCACTGCTTGTTGCCATGGGTAGGAGAGAAAGGTTATGAAACCCTCTCCAGATATCAGCCAAGGCTAGCATGTTGTCAGCCGTCTGGAATGCCATACGTACTGTCCCGACTCAAATCAGGACATAAAATCATGTGTGAGGCATTTCTTTCATTAGCAATGGCATCTGTCTCAAGAAGATGAAGAATCTTCCTGGTGGGCTGTGCCACTGTCGTATCATGGAATCAAATAAAGACAGATGTTCACAAATTTAGAGAGGATGAAAGGCTGTGTGGCACCAACAATACCTACTTGAGAGACTGGTACACCTCTGAGAGCTGGCTCCTTATTGACCCAATGAGGAGCCTACACAATTCCCTAGGCAACAGAAAGCTGATGACCATGGAGATCTAAGTAGAGAAAGAGCTGGCCAGTATGGAAAAGAAGAGTCATGGGGTGGAAGAGAAAGGAAGCATCACTGTGGTCTCAGTAAGCCATGTCGAATGTCAGAACAGAAAAGGGAGAGGAGTGCTCACATTAGCGAGCGCCTCACACGAGGGACAGATAGGTAAACATACAAAGACATAGCCTCTTCCACAACGAACGCAGAGCGCAGGAAAATGAGCCAGTAACTGCCAGGGAAAGTGCTGACCCGGAAGCATGTGTGCATGTATGTGTATTTCTGTATGTGAGTATATGTACATACACATGTATAAAGGAAAGGAGGGAAAGAAGACAGGTAAATGAACAAGTGTAAACCTCAGAGTCTCGGGAATACACATGAGAAATCCTTCGCTTCTGCTTGGGAATCAAGTAAAAGCCTAAAGTAAGTGGATCACAGTCCAGGTTCATGCCCCGGCAGGAAGCAAGATACTATCCTAAAAATAACCAGTGAAAAGCAGGCCTGAAGGGGTGGCTCAGCAGTAGAGCACCTTGCCTAGCAAGTAGAAGGCCTTGCACCACATAAGCAGAAAAACCCAGAAAAGGCACCGTGGCTCAAGTGGTAGAGCGCTAGCCTTGAGCTGAAGAGCTGAGGGACAGCACCCAGGCCCAGAGTTCAAGCCCCATGGCCGACAATAGACAGACAGACAGACAGACAGACAGACAGATAGATAGATAGATAGAAGTCTGGGTAGGGAATGGGAACAAAGCTATTAGTCACTGGTTACTCAGGAGGCTAAGAGGCTCCCAACTCAAAGCTAACTCATGTAGCACAGTCCATGGAACTCCATCTCCAAAACAGCCAGCACAAAGCAGAGCTGGAGATGTGAGCCATGTGGTATAACACTAACCAAGCAAACAAGCTTAGCCAAGTGTGAGGGCATAAGTTTGAACCCCAATAACAGCAATTTAAAAAAAAAAAAGTAAAAACTGCCCTTTAATTACCAAGGGTAGCAGCATGGAGAATTGGAAAGGACACAGGAATTATAGGATTATAGGATCCTGGAAATTAGATTATAGGCCTCCAGGAATGGGCTGCAGGTCTGGAGATCACCCTCTAAGTAAGAGAACCTGTGCAAATAACATCCTTGGATTTTCACCTTTCCCACAAAATGAAAGCAGGACTTCCCAGGGACTCATATGCTTTGCGTTCAGCATGCATTGGTCTTAAAAACATGAAACTCCAGTGTCTCAGTACTGGTTTCCATTTGCAACTCTCCTGTGTACATGAGCCTCAAGTTCAGGTCCACTTCCAAGACTGCACGCCTTTGACTGCTGTCAGGGTAAACGTACAGAAACTTCCCATCCTCTAATTTCCCACCTTCTAAGGTTCCTCCCTAAGGAGTTTCAGCTATCCAACCTTGGCCCACCTCTACTAGAAAGCCAATTTGTCCATGCAGGCATTTAAAATTTCCTGTTGAAATGTGCCTTACGTTTCCTCAACAACTCCCCAAAGAAAAAGAGTACCAATATATCAGAAAATGTTTCAGCTTCCAATACAGAAGAAATAAAATGAGGCAATGCTCAACAGCAAGTCATGGAAATCACTTACATAAAAATCAGACATAAATCTATTTGCTCCTAATTAGCAAGAAAGCCTAGAAGTTGAACTGGAATATTCAAGCTCCTACTCATTTTCATCAGTAAATTACTCTGTGTTCTTGACATTTTATGCAAATAACTACAGATGTTTTTTATCTAGATGAATACACACATTGGCCTCCTTCCTTCCTCTCTCCCTTCCCTTTCTCCTTCCCAACACCCTTGGTTATGCTTATCCTAGCTTGGGTTCTGGATGCATATGTGCTATAGGGGGACGAACTGGTTGAGAAAAGACATAGAGAGACATGATAAATGCTAAGATTTACGATCATCCGCATATGATTCTGCTTTGCTGAAGTCAGGATGCTAGGGCTCCCCATATATTTCTTTTTTAATATTCTGAGATGCATCCAGAGTCACAAGGGACTTGGAAAATGTATGTTCCTTGTTACAAGGGATGAAAACATATGTGGTTGTCCTAACTCCCTACTGTAAATAACTTAGAGCAGCTACCTCATGCTCCTCATCACCACCATCACCACCACCACCACCACCGATGGTTTTACTCTGAAATCGACTAATTAAAAAACTTCCTTTAAAATGATAATACAGGCCAGGTTCCTTTTCTCCTATGTAAACACACGTGAAACTAGGCTCAAGAATTAACTCACTGAAATGTCCTCTGCCTTGCATCCATCACCCATCTTTGAAGGGCAACTCCTTCCTGTCCATTCTCCGCATCACAGAGGATTGCTCCTCACCCACAGGACACACTGAGACACACACTTCCTGCCCACCTGCCCTGAACTCAACAGCTATCTCAACAACAAGCTCTCTGCCTTTGAGAAACAGAAAATCCACCATTGCCTTCCCCCAAAAAAGACAATGGAAGAAAATCAGACTCCCCCTCCTTCCCTCCCTCCCACCTTGCTGGGGAGCTGTAGTCTTTAGTCCAAAGCCACTTTGCTCTCCAGAGGAGAACAGATATCTGCAGACATTGTTGATTATCCAGCTAAGGGAAAGGGTATACTGGGGTCTAATGGCTGACACCAGGAAGCTGCCCAACACCCCAGGATGCACTCCTGACTCAGAAGTAAACAACCCTGCATCCATGGCACTGAAGTGGAGAGACCTGCCTCAGTTCCACATCAGGAGAACTCACATTTCTCCTGGGAAAGAGGACCAGAGGGTGTAAGAGTATATCAAGTAGCTGTAAACCCAGTAGTAAGAGTGTAAGGATATAAGAGTCAGTGCAGCAAGCAGCTGTAAACCCAAAGGATCTCTCAGTAGCACTGACACTAGGACTCACCACACAGGAACACCGGATACACTTGTTCCCTTCTGGCTGAAATTCCTCTCCTTCACCATACTGCACACCTTCAAACACACAGCCTGGACAGTAAAGGAGAATTCAGAAATTAGGCATCAATATTTGATCACTTGAGGTGATCCCTTCATCCGCCACCCACCTCCACCCTTAGTCAGCAGCATCCTCTTTAAGATTGATAGAGTTAGAGGAAGAATAAGAGGGGAAGGAGAAGGAAGAAGGAGGAAGAGAAGAAGAAAAAGGAGGACAAGAGGAAGGAGGGGGAGGAGGACAAGTAGGAAAGGAAGGAAGAGGAGGAAGAGGAGCAGGAAGAAGAGGAGGAACAGATGGGCATGGGACCAGAAACCCTAGAGAAAGCAGCAAACAAATGACAGTGGAACCCAGGCCAGTCTAGGGGGCACAAACAATGCAATGAGCCATGCCGTGAGCGCACAGAGCCCTACCCTACGCTGACCACGATGGAGGTCCACAGAGAGGGCCAGAAGACCTCAAAGGAAGGCCAAAAGGGAAGAAACCCATGATGCAATTAGGAACTGATGGTGAATACCAGTAATCTTGAATGTTCTGCTGCCTTCCCTCCATCTTCCAAGTAGGACCTCCATCCTTGCACAGAGCAAGAAGGCTGGGCTCAGAGGGGAAGTTGCAACCTTGTCTAGTGGCCATGCTGAGATGAATCAGTTCCCACCACCCATGCTCTGTAGAAAGCTGAGCATACAGGCAAACAGGGAACAGAGGCAGGGCAGAAAGTACCAGGGGTTTTCAGCTTCACCTTGTGTGTGTTAAAAGGGCTGAGCCCCTTATCACATTAGGCTATCAAAGGACCAAAACCCAGGAGGTGAGCTCTATTCAGAAAGATGCTCAGGATACCACCATGTTCTAAGGCACAGGGAAGCCAGCAACTCTGTGTCACGGAGCCATGGGAGAATGTCAGTTAACAGCAAAGCCATTGTGCTCAGTAGGGTCCTCACAAGACAAGGTTGGCTGGCATCGCTTTTGACACAGCAAACAAGTAGAGCCAAACTTCCAATGGGTAAAAGTTATCAAAGCAGGTTCTTGTGCATGCCTGAGGAGTTTCTATGACTGGCCAACTCAGATTTCAGTGTTTGCTGACAGGGAGCAAGAACAGCATCCCCACCAGCCCTCATCCTCGCCCTGTCCATCCTAAAGCTAGATGGGACCCTTTGTTCAACAGAAACATATGTAGATGAGTGCTGGGTCTACAGTAGACTGGCCACATCAAATGAAACATGTCCCAGGAATAGCTTTTTTGGGGCAGCCACACCCAGAACTAACGATCTGCAATGTGGGAGGACTGGTAAGGGCAGTGCCCCGGTAATTGTGTCTCAGTGCCATCCATAAATGGCAGGTGTCCCCTTGTCTCTCCCCAGGGGGCACATCCAACACAGTCTTCCCTTCTTCCCTGTGTTCTCACCTCTGATTCTGTCCTACCAACTGACACAACCACCTACATTGGACAACTCCAGTAAAGGAATTTTCAAGAGAATTCAAACTATTCCCATCACAACCCACCATCCTGGAGCAAAGGATCAGACAGAAAGGAAGGAGCAGACAACCAAGAATGCTCTGTAATCTGTTTCAGGAGGAAACTGACCACAGACTGTCCATGTGTGTCATTATGCAGAATACCATTCACTGATCAGTGACAGATGCCGATCCTCCAGAACCACTGGGAGTCTCCTGAGCCCTCCTTCACGGCTCCTGTGCACTCCTCCTTCTGACTTCCCATTTGCATCCCCAAAACCATCCTGATGGAAGGATGATATGGGTGATGGCTGACCTCACCATGGGGGGCCCATTGCTGCTCAGGCAGGGATCAGGCTCTGGTGTGACATGCTCACTTGTAAAGAGGATCTGCCTCCCGGCTCACGGGAACTAAAGCCTAACACTTCTCATGCAGTGGGGTGAAGTGGGCTGTGGTGGGTATCAGTGAGAAACGAGACCCAGGGCTCAGCCCCACCTGTGGGCTCACTGGGTCAGATCTCCTCCTGGTCCTGTCTATCACACCTATCCCTCCCTGGCTGCAAGGCAGGCTGTGCAGGTTGTTGTATGCAATGTGTAGTAGGTAGCACGTCCTGTGTAGTGTGTGCAGTATTCCTGAGAATACAACCAAATAGAGCTAGCAAAACAACTGCTCAACTATGAAAACGGATGGCTGAAAAAATGCAGTCTATTGCTTCAGACAGGAGGATCCAAAGTGAGCAGATACTGCACCATGTAAGAGATGATCACGTAAGTCTCTCCTCGCATCACCCTTGCTCCATGAGGAGCCCTGAGATTGTTGGTGGGAGCCTTTGATTTTATCCTGGATGCAAAACTAACCCCATACTCCATATAGCCAATTTCATATTTAAGTTCTAGAATATGTTTTGTGTGTGTGTCACAATTGAGGCTCGAACACAGGGACTCACGCTCTTTGATCTCTCAAAGCTGGTGTTCTACCACTTGAGCCACCTTCACTTCCAGCTTTTTGGTGGTTCTTTGGAGATAAGGGTCTCACAGCTTTTCCTGCCCAAGCTGATTTCAAACTGGGATTCTCAGATCTCAGCCTCCTGAGAAGCTAAGATCTCAGGTGTAAGTCATTTTATGTGGTAAGTTTAATTTGTTCTACTATTAATCTTAAACCTGGCTCTATACAGAAATTATCTGGAAGTCCCCCTTCCCCAGCTAGAATCTATTAGTATTGGCCTGCAAGACCAACATCGGCCTGAGCACCAACACTGAGTTTTTCGAGTTACCCAGGCAAGTGTAATATACATTCATCAACTTAACAAAGAACCTGCAGACACTGAAGGACTCAGTTACCGATGCACTAAAGCAAGCCGCTTGATGGATACAAAACAGTCATTGGGTTAGGGGAAGGATTTGTTTATTTTCACCCTTATTTTTGGCCTCTGTGGTAAGTTTATCACACAACAAGACTGTTACACAGGAGCCCTGGTGTTAAAAGGGAGCTGAGTAAAGACTACCTGAGATGTAAGAAGGCTGGATGTGGCTCTCCTTCTCATTGGAGGATTAGAAGGCTGAGCCGGGATTACCTCTGTGGGGGCCTCGCTGACCCTCAGGAAGGTGCAAGCAACCACAGGCCCCAAGAGGGGCCAGTGAACATGAGCATTGTCACCCAGCAAGAAAAAATGTTCTGCAGCCAGGCACCAGTGGCTCACACCTATAATCCTAGCTACTCACAAGTCTGAGATCTGAGGATCGTGGTTCAATGCCAGCCCAGGCAAGAAAAGTCCATGAGACTCTTAATCTCCAATTAACCACCAGAAATCTGGTAGTGGAATTGTGGCTCAAGTGGTAAAGTACTCACCTTGAGTGAAGAGCTGAGGGATAGCGCCCAGGCCCAGAGTTCAAGCCCCACAACCAACAGGAAGGAAGGAAGGAAGGAAGGAAGGAAGGAAGGAAGGAAGGAAGGAAGGAAGGAAGGAAGGAAGGAAGGAAGGAAGGAGGGAAGGCAGGCAGGCAGGCAGGCAGGCAGGCAGGCAGGCAGGCAGGCAAAGAAACAAGAAAGGAAAGAAAGAAAGAAAGCTCCAAAAACCCAGGTGCAGCACCCCTGTCTGAGACTTAACCAGAAGCTAAGAGATCAGGAAAACAAATCTCATCCCAAACCTCCCAGGCATGTGCAAAGCCTGGGGGAGGCCTTGGCAACCCTGCTCCGGAAGATGAGAGAAGTCACTCCTGCACAGGAGAAGACGCACCCGCTGCTGCCAGCCAGGCTGAGGCCACTCAAGGATGGCAGACATAAGTCCAGCTCATCCAGTCACACCGAAAAACAAGGCGGCAAAACCTTAAGCTGAACTCACGGGGGACACGGCTCTCGGATCCCAAAAAAAAACATCTGGCCAGGTGCACTCTGGCCAAAGTACTGCAATAGGAAGCCATAAAAAGGATTCCTGGACGGAAGCAAGAGCCACAGCCCCTCCCCGTGAAATAAGTGTTACCTGTGGCCCCGGGGATGGAAAGTGTCCACCGAGCCAGGAGAGGCCCTGGGCCAACAATGCAGCACGTGGCCTCCACCCTGAGCATATGGAGGGAGCAACAGACTCTGTCTCACACTCACACATACTCTCTCTCTCTCTTACACAATTACTCCCCCCTTCTTTCTCCCACTTCACCTTCTCCCCAGCTCTTCCCTCCCACGTAGTAGGCTCATTAGTGTAAATGGAGCCAGGGGCTCTTGCACGCTGGAGAACACAGAGCCTCCACTAGGAGCACGTTGCACCTGGATGGTCCAGCTGCCCGCTTTGAGCGTTACCTGGACACGTGGGGCAGCAGGCTCCCAGATGCTCCATGGGGTTTTTACAGTGGACAGCACAGCGCACCGCCGACTCAGTGACAACGCCTTCCTGGGTGACAGAGAGTCACAAATAGCATCAGTCTGGAGTTCCCACCAAGGGGTAACAACTTTGGGAACTGAGGAAGGAGGAGAAAGCAAATATACAAGTGCAAGGTAGGGTGGTGTCAGCCCCGGAGGGCCCCCAGCACAGGTGAGGTCCTGGGCGCACCAATCTGGGCTTTGGACCTGAGAGTGTGAATTCCATCTTGTGTTCTTTATCCTGTCTTTGCACTCTCTCCCTGGCCTGGCTTGCTGGCTTTGAAATCTAGTTGAATTCTTCTTGCTGGTGGTCAGAACTGACAGGGTCTTCCTGCTCATTCTCAATTGTTTCAGGTTATCAATCCTGGATGCTCTCTATTATTGCTAACATACTTCAAGACATTGACTATGAGCCATAGGCTAACAAGCATAAAACCCAGACTGGCATCTAGAGTTTGAATCTCCAGGTAAATCCTGAACCACCCTTCTAGAAAAGCCTAGATTACTTCTGTATGTTGAGAAACATCACTCAACCCCATGTAAAGATGGGGTTGCGGTCCTCTAAGACAACACATAAGACAACACACAACTACTTCTAGATTCACATTAAATATGGCGGAGCATGAGCCTGGATTTAAATCCTCAAGTGAGCAGGACCATTTGCAAGCTCATCTTAATGTCAATTAACACTTTTTTTTTTTTGGGGGGGGGGTCCGGTCGTGGGGCCTGAACTCTGGGCCTGGGTGCTGTCCCTCAGCTCTTCAGATCAAGGCTAGCGCTCTACCACTTGAGCCACAGCGCCACTTCTGGCTTTTTTCTTTTTGCTTATGTGGTGCTGAGGAATCGAACCCAGGGCCTCAGGCATGCAAGGCAAGCGCTCTACCACTGAGCCACCTTCCCAGCCCAATTAACACATTTTTTTGACATTCATTTTCAGAAAATAAATTTAAAGAGAAAAACAATAATTTTCAGGAATGGTCTTTGAAAAGTGTCTTCTATGCTATGTATTTTTCTAAATGAACACATTTTTGTTTGTTAATTTAATTTTGTTTTGAAGGACCAGCCAAAAACAGATGCAACAACTAGACAACGGGGCCATTTTCTTCACCGTGTCTACACCTCAGCCCAGAAAGGAGGGGAAAGCAGTCTCAATGACTTCATGTCATGCCAGGCCTAAGGTCTGTACTGTGAGGGGAATTTATTGCTATCTCTATCACATTTGGGAAGAAAATAATTCCCCAAAATACCAGCAATAGCCAGCATCAGAAAGAATCCATGCTTCCGTTACGTCACTAAAGCAACGCAGAGAGCTGTGGCCTGAGGTCAATTTTCCTTCCATATCTGCAAGCCAGATGAAGGATTCCGGTCAGTTCCCAGTGTCAATTTCCTGTGTGGGATCTTCAAATTTTTCTTTCCCAATAAGAAATTAAAAAACGAGAACATAAAGCTAAAATTCTCACCATCAGAACTCCTTCAGTCAGAAGACAGAAGGAAGAAGGCAGACTTCAAGTCAAATGGAGACAGACCAGATCATTGGATCTGAATCAGGTAGTACCTAGTCATACCCAAATGTACAGGATGGACCAGAAGCAATGTTAACCAAAGTCTCCCTGGTTTCTTTTTTTTTTTTCCTTTTGTCGGTTGTAGGGCTTTAACTCAGGGCCTGAGCTCTGTCCCTGAGCCTCTTTCTGGTCAAGGCTAGCACTCTCCCACTTCAGCCACAGCGCCACTTAGGTTTTTGAGGGGACTTTACTGCCTGGGCTGGCTATGAACTGGGATCCGTAGATCTCAGCCTCCTGAGTAGCTAGGATTACAGGCGTGAGCCACCAGTGCCCAGCTACTCTCCCTGGTTTTTAAAACTTCTTCTCATGGTACCAAGGGTGAAAGTGAGGTGGGGAGCTTGGGTAATCAGTTGCATGAGTGGCAGTGCCCACTTGTGTTCTACACTGTTGTCATTGACATTGACATTGACACTGTGCCCTGAGAAGAGGCTGCAGAGAAAGAGGATGATTGTGTCTTCAGAGGCACCAGAAATGCCTGAAGGTGCAGCCAACAGTCAACTCCCCCATCTGTCTCCTAGAGATGGGAACACTAGGCAAGAGCCTGTGGACAGGGAGGAACAGGAAGTGCTAGCTTTCTGTAACCTTCCCAGAGGGTTGATCTTCTGCTTATTGATAAAATAGCACCGTACTCGCCACAGGGACTTGAGCACTGGTTCAGAAAAGGAAGAAACTCGAGAGGCCAAGTTCGTCTTTGGTAGATAACATCCTCCTTCTGTGTGTGATTCCAAGCATTTTCTGACTTCCTGTAATAACTGAGGACTCCTACCTCAGTCCTCTCTGGGCCAGCCACCAAAATAGGACAGGCAATGAGAGTTTTGGTCCTAAGAACAAATAACAATTTAATTTGTTCTTCAGGCAACAGAATAATCCCTCCCATCTGGTAGCTGCATTTAATTTAAATGATGTCTTCATCCAAACACAGCAAAACTTTGCTCTAGCTCAAGCAACTTGAGGACAAACACCTCTGACAGACAGCTATGTACAGATACTTAATTCATTGCACAGAACATATGTGTATTTTATTTAACATTTCCATTGCCCCCCTACCAGATTAGAAATGTCACAGATCCACAGACAGGGTGGAGGCAGGCTACTACACATTTTGATATGAAAACCCATCACGCTTGGAGGTAGAGGTGTTGCTCAAAGCCACACCCTTGAACAAGAAAAAAGGAGGGAGGAGAGTGTGAGACTGAGTTCAAGCCCCAGTAGCAGCAGAAATTTAAAAAAAAAAAAAAAGAATGAATAACAATCACTCTTGTTTCTTTACACCATGAGGCTGGCATTTTTATAATCAAGAGCAAAAATTCAACAAATATCTACTGATCTAATGAAGTGTTTTTGTGTGTGTCTGTTTTACCTATTGCTTCTTTTCACAAAGAACTTACTGCACTAGGAAGCTACATAATTAAAAGAATAATAATTAAAGGTCTTATACATGAGCATCAAGCTTACTGGAGACATATAATGAGAAACTGACAACAATTCATATTTTAATGAACTAAATGTCAATATGCTTGAGATATGATGAGACTGAGAGACCTATCTTCTATTATATTATCTTTCCATCTCCTTTAAATGCGCATGCACCCCCTGCAGTGAAGGAATGGAGTGTGGAATAAAATGATTTGACAGCATCATGTCACAGAAATGTGTGTGTGTGTGTGTGTATGCTTGTATAATGGTGTTGAACTCAGGGCCTTGCACTCTCCCCTGGCTTTTTCACTCCAGGGTGGTGCTCTACCACTTGAGTCATACCTCCACTTCTGGATTTTGACTGGTTAATTGAAGATAAGAGTCTCTTGGATTTATCTGTCTGGGCTGGCTTTGAACTATGGTCCTCAAATACCTGCCTCCTGAGTAGTTAGGTTATAAGCATGAGCCATTGGATGCCAACTTATATTCAGAATCTTTTCTTAGTTATATTAAAGTAGGACGAGCATTTTATTTTTTCATGGAGTAGTTCCATAGCAATGAGGTAGAAGTTTAAGGTTCTTCATTTTCCCTGGCTGTTAATCTTGCTAGCTTTAATACTGTAGGGATTAGAGCCTGGTAGCACTACTACTTTGTTTTTTTAATTCAGCAAAACTCAGCCTTAGTGGCTAAACTCATGGTTCTTCAAAATGTGAAGGGGAAATCACTGAGATGATAGTGTATTGATTGTTTTGTCTTAATATAGTTTCCAGGTTGGCAACACATTTTTAAATCAAAGAAGAAAACACCCCATCTAACAATACCTCTTTTCTACTAACAGGAATGCATGTTCCGCTCAAAGATGATTTCACAGGAAAACATGGGTTTTCCCCAAGGACATAGGCATCTTCCTGGAGGTTTTGCAGACACAACTTAACAACAGGAAACCATTCTGCTGTGTGCTTCTGGAAACAGGTTCCATTTGGTGCCTCTCCTGTACCTGTCTTATTATGGTGAATATCATAATAAATATGCACAAGGACACAGCTGCTTTTTCACTTGCTTCTTTTGGTTTTTTTTTTCAGCCTCTTTTGTGGAGAGGGGAGCTCTCTTTCTGTGTTGGCTAAAGGTGGTAGCTGCAAAGAGTTCTATTTTTTTTTAAAAAAAAGACATTTTTGCTAGAGAGTAAAAGACTCTGACTTTACCTGGCACTGGCGTAAGACACAGGGCTCGTCTGGACTCTGCCACGTGAAGGAGCTGTTATAGACATTTCCTCTGTAGGTGCAACCTATACAGGGAAAGCAGAGAAGAGAAGAAAAGCCAAGAATGAATGTGGACTTCCTTTCTCTGGGGAGCAAAAGAAAGTATGATATCCCCTAAGCCAAGAGTGCTCCTTGGCTATTTCCCCCAAAACACACCAAGTCTTCTAAGCATCCATTTGGCATTCCCTGACAGCATTTCTTTGACAACTGAGTCCATGAACTTCATGCAGTCGATTTTCCAAGGGCAAACCATAAATTAATGAACACTCTTAGCCAAAATAAATACTATCATGATTTTATTTATGCTTAATCAAGTAGGAGGAAGCTTGCAAGCTAAAAACACCACCATGAAAAGAGATCTTGTGTGAAACCAAACCAACCCAACATTGCTCAAGATCAAGAAGGAACTGTAAAACATGGTGGGAAATTAAGGCAGAAAATTAAATTACAAGAGGTGATTACAAAATTCTATACCCATCTAAGAAACATACCCCACCCTGTTGCAGTACTGAAGGGTTCAACTCAGGGCCTTGTTTCCTAGGCAAGTGCTCTGCTCCATAAGCCACACCTCAAGCCCTTCTTGCTTTAGGCTATTTTTCAAATAGGGTCTTGGTTTTTACCTTAGCCAGCCTGAGACTACAATCCTGCCATCTATGTCTCCTATGTAGTTGGGATTAAGACACATGCCCCCCATGCCCAGCTGATTTGTTGACAAGAGATCTTGCTAACTTTTTACCTGGGCAGGCTTCAAACCAACTCTTCTAGACCTCTGCCTGCCAAGCAATTGGGAAGCACCCCTGGCTCATCCAAGATTCTTGAAGAGCTACTTTCTTCACCAAATAAAACCTTCCAAGATCCGCCTCTCACTTCTAAAAGCTTTGATTTCCTATTTCACTTTCAGTTGACTTTTAGGTAAAGGTAAATTTTTTAAACAAAAGTCTTATTGAGGTCATAAATCTGATTAAACAAACCTAAAACTACCAATGAATGGATCCACGCATTTCAAGTCATTGACCAAAATCAAAGAGAAAATAAGTCAGTTAGCTTATGTTCCTGAGTAAAGAGCAAAAAAAAAGAAAAAAAGTATCAGGGAAAGAGCATCATTCATTCCATCCTGGTTCAAGTGTGAACAAAACCCTCCATATGCAGATTCACTCAGAGAGTGCCTCTAGTACTGACTGCCTTCTTAGGAGACCACCGCTCAGAGACCACCATGAGATTTGGAAGAAGCACCATGTCTTCCTCTTTACAGTACTGATGGAATTCTGACTAGCTAATCTACATCAACATATTTCAGTTTCTCTTGTTCCAGGTACAGAGAAAAGACTCACCTTTTCCCCTGAGTTCTTTTGGATACCACTCTGGTTTAAAAAAAGCAAAAACAAAAACGAGAAAACTTCACAAAACACATCACATCAGCAAAACAATAAAGGACTTAGGAAATTTTCAACAGATGTTTTCAGAAACTCAGAGCCATGATCTGAATTCTTGAAGAATGATGAATGAGTGAGAAGAGTTCAATAACACCCCTCTCTAGTTCCTACAAATCAAATTACCAAAGTACACCGCTGATTGGAAAGACATCAGGAAAATCCCTTCACTATATATTTTTTTAATTTCCTTTGCTTGAAGTGTTACAGAGATAGACTGTTCATCCACAGAAACCTTTGGCACACTACAAAACCTTCTGCCAAACCAAGGAAGAAAACAGTAAATCTCCAACAATGGCAATCCACATGAAACAATTCAGGCTAGCATAAATCTTATTGAACAAACGCACTTAAAATCAGCATCAGGTACATGTCTGGCCCACTAACACAGACAGACTCACTCGGATAATAAATAACTTGTTCTGAGCAATGGAGGCAAGGAATCAGAGAACCAAATCCAGCCTATGGTAGGTCTAGGTAAATACGGGACACCTGCCAACACTGCCAGTGGAATTTCCAAATACATTACATATTTTCATCATCTTTACAAAAAAAAAAACCTAAAGGATAATTTTTGTTGCTGTTAATAGGCCAGGCAAAGATATTTCCTTGTGTACTCGAGAGCATAAAGTATAGCACAAAATGTATATAGATCATGAGAGAAGTACAGGCCAGGACACACACAGTTCCTAAGCAGGGTCAGGTCATAGGCACAGGACTCCAGGGCAGGTCGGGTTATCCCATAGCTAATAGGAGGAAGCTTATTTTATCGGTACAGGAACACCCCCCCCTCTCCCACCCCCACAATCTGGACAATATTATTGAAACTCTGACCACAGTCAGATAACGAAGGGCTTCATTGCTTACCTGTCAATCTGCCACACCTGAGCACACGTCCTAGCTTCCCTCAAAGGATGGGTGAATCTGAACCACGGTGTGGAATTTGAAACAGATGTGCAAAGCTCTGTAGCAAATGCCACACCTTTTCATTCTTCACTTGCCGGCCCGTGAACCAGACAGTTCTGGGTGCCTCAGCATACCAAGTGCTAGATTTCTTATGCAAGGGATTATTGAACTATAAGATCATTAAAGAAAGGATAGTTCCATCCTGGCATCAGTAGCTCCTGCCTGTAATCCTAGTTATTCAGAAGGCTAAGATTTGAGAATGGTGGTTCAAAGCCAGCCCAGGCAGGAAAAGACCAGGAGACTCATCTCTGACTTAAAAAAAAAAAAAAAAGCCAGAAGTGGAGCTGTAGCTCAAGTGGTAGAGCACTCGCCTTGAGCACAAGAACTCAGTAACAGTGTGCAGGCCCTGAGTTCAAGCCTCAGGAAGGAGTGAGGGAAGAAAAGAAGGAGGGAAGTAGAGAAGAAAGAAGGGAGGGAGAGAGGGAGGGAGGGAGGGAGGGAGGGGAGAAGGTAAAGAGGAAAGGAGGGAGGGAATGAGAGAGGAGAGGAGGGAAGGATTCCACTGCTTTTAGGGGTCATGTTCTAAGCTAAACTTACTATCTTAATGTAAGACAATAACTTGAACTGTGTGAGACTCACATAAAGAGAATCACTGACAGAAATAAAAGACTTCTTGTTTTCTTAACACTCTCAAAAATAACCAAAGCAACAAGGGCCAGAACCATAGTTCAAGCATCAGAGCTTTTGCCTTGCTAGCAGGAAGCCTCATGTTCAAAACCCCAGTTCCTAAAAAAAAAATAAAATAAAAAAATAATTCACCAGCCCCAAAATTCAACAGTGCCAGGGTTGGAAAATCCTAATTTAAACCATCACACAGAACTCAGTAATTCTTCTTGACACCTAAAATAATACGGAAAGACCTTAAACTAGTTACACTTTCCTTCTGAATGTATTTTGGCTCTTCTAATATTAAATGTTTCTGAGTGGGAAGGAGGTTCATAGCTGCCTTTTTCTTTTTTCTATTTTTTTTAACCACACATCCTCTTTAAAGAACTCTGCCTAGTCAACCAGTTAGCTCAGAAAGCATGTCGCAAAGGAAAGAGAACACAAATTAATTAAATCCACAGTTAAGCAATAAAACTCATTTTCCTTATTAGTTGCAACCTTTTCAGTGGCCACAGGGTCCCTAGGGAGAGAGAAGGCCACACATTTTCAACATTCTGTTGTTAAAGCAACTGTTAAAAATCATCGACACCATAAAAAATGCCATTTGGCCTTCCGACAAACCTTTACTCAGCCTGGATCCACCCTGCGAGTCTAGATCCTCTCACTTTTCATGTTCACATGTGTCCCAGCGTGGAGAACCAGGTCTAACCATGGCTGTGTGCTTAATCTCGGATGCTCAAAGCTTCCCAGTGCCCACCACACCCACCTCAGTCCTTTCCTCTCACTCTTAGGCCTCCAGCCCTGCCCAGGTTCACCTCACAATGCTTCCAAATTCATGTTCCAGGGCCTCACCTTAGGATATCTGCCTTCTACCGGGTGGCTCAGCAAAGCCCCAAGGACTTGCCCCTTCCCAGTGCCCAATTGAAGGATGCTCAGTCTCTGTTTTACAGACATCTCTGAGGGATGTTGCCACACTTTCCTTCTTCCCCTCTTCACACCATCCCTTCCAAGCACTGCTCTGTCCTCTCCACTGTAGCCTCCAGTAAGGGGCTGGCTATTTCTCACCAGACCAAACCACTGTTTTCCTGGTTCTGATACCAGGGGAGAGGTATCTTTTCCAAGCCGCCCTCTTCCCCAGCCACCCATGTACTCTATCACATCTAGACGTTACGACATCATGTGCACACTTGATTGGTGGGTGAGGTACAGACTCTACTCATATCTCCCAACCCTTCTCCACCCGACTAACTGGATCAGTCTCCAGAAACAGGAAGTAGAAGAGGAAAGCTCATATATAACTTGACTGAAAACCACTGGTGGTTAAACCTAAAAGGCTTGTTGGCAGGTCTGGAAAAGGTGGCTCAGTGGTAGAGTGCTTGCCTTGCATGCATGAGGCCCTGGGTTTGATTCCTCAATACCACATAAGCAGAAAACCCAGGAAGTGGTGCTGTGGCTCAAGTGGTAGAGTGCTAGCCTTGAGCTGAAGAGCTGAGGGGCAGCACCCAGGCCCAGAGTTCAGGCCCCACAACAGAGAGAAAGAGAGAAAGAGAGAGAGAAAGAAAGAAAGAAGGGAGGGAGGGAGGGAGGGAGGGAAGGAGGGAGAAAGAAAGAAAGAAAGAAAGAAAGAAAGAAAGAAAGAGAGAGAGAGAGAGAGAGAGAGAGAGAGAGAAAGAAAGAAAGAAAGAAAGAAAGAAAGAAAGAAAGAAAGAAAGAAAGAAAGAAAGAAAGAAAGAAAGAAAGAAAGAAAGAAGGGAGGGAGGGAGGGAGGGAGGGAGGAAGGAAGGAAGGAAGGAAGGAAGGAAGGAAGGAAGGAAGGAAGGAAGGAAGGAAGGAAGGAAGGAAGGAAGGAGGAAAAAAAGGCTTGTTGGCATATACATTTCATCCTGGCATCTACAATGAATTGATTCCAGCAACATCAAAGACAAATCTGTGAGTGCTCAGGCCCTCCCATCAAATTGTGCATCATCTGCCTATAACCTACTCACATCCTCTCTTCTACTGTACATCATTATCTCTAGCTTACG